AAACATATAGTGAACTGCTGATCTACATTTAATATTCCTAGTTTAAATAGACATCAAAAATATATTTAGAGGTTAGAAAGAGATTATACCCTCTGATGCAATCATTCTCCTCCAAGGGTCTACTTGAAGGGAAAAATGGGAGCTGTAGAAACACAGGTAGCTACAACAAACAATGCTCATCAGAACGTTAAAATTGTAAGAAACATCCTATATGTGTAAAATATGTGATTGTCTGCAGTGCTTTAAAATCAGATATTAAAATAAGTTTTAATGATAATGGGGAATATTCACAACATTGTAAGTGAAAAGGCAAGATACGACATGATATAAACAGGAGGCAGTTTATCTCACTATTAAGGCACTTTTTCCTTAGTGACAGGATTATTCATGGTGTCCTTCTAACCCCATGTTTTTAAATAATCTACAAAGAACACAAGTTAATTTAAAAATATGTCTTTTAAAACTATTATAGCCATGTCTTTGCCATGATCTATGATAACCACATAATGTGTCTAATTGAAAGATAGTCTTCTAACAATTTACTAACCATATTGTAAAACGAAATTGCCTCATACAGAGAAATGTTTACTTGTACACTGACCCACCTAGTATTTCACAGTCTAAGTCTCCTGTGTGCAGGTAGTCACCCTGAAATGTTATGTATTATGGTTCTCTTTGGGGAAAAAAAACAAAAAGTAATGGAAATAGGACTGGGGTGGGGGAAGGCGTGTAAGGAAATCTATAAACTTCCATTTAAAAACAAGCCTACCTGATAGCATCCTCAGGTTCTTTAAAACATATTATTAAATATTTACTTTTCACAAAAAAGTAGTATAGTCATATTTTAAGCTTTTGCTTCCTTGGAAACAATTGTATCCTTACATTAACTAAGTTAAATCGTGAAACATAAATAATTCCTATTATCATAAAATGTCAGCTAAACATAAGCTGCATTCCTGTTTTTATGAATATTTACATACAAGTTTGTGGTACAGCAATCATAATTCTGAACCTTAAACCACATTTTCAAGTAGCAAAGCAAACCTAATTCATTCCCCATGTGATACATTAAAAGGCACTTATCATAGGTTTTTCTCAAAATTCACATAAATAAGAAACGCTTTGTGGTCTGTGGCATACAAATTACAACGTGAGGACATAGGGACTGCCTCGGTCAGTCCAGTAAATTGGCACATCAGCAGCAGTGCTGCCAAGGTTTGGCCAATCAGTCCACTGGTTTTCCAGGGTGATAATAGATTCGAATTAATTTAGATTCTGTGTTTGGTCTAGGCCCTCAGAGGATGGGTGGTAGCATGCACCTGGAGTGGGCGTGGGTCTGGAGAGCAGACCAGAGCATGCAAAGCTGACTGTCTCACCTGGTGACTGAATGACTGACTTCATGGCTATGAACTTGGTCTCATTTGTATAGTGTTCTCACCAGCTGAGCTAACTCATCTTTTAAGATAGAATTACACAAGCTAGCACATGTTTCCAGAGTTATATTTTTCTGTTCAAAAGAATTATCACCATTAAATTTCCAAAATATTTCCTATCATATTATAGACTCAGAGGAGCTTTATAATAAGATTGCTATGACAAAATTATTTCAAACATATTTAAGTATACTCAGAGATGTGAAACATACTAATTTTTACACACTAGAAGATTTAGAACTGAAAAAAATTCTAAAAACTGTAAAGCAAAAACAATAAAAAATAAATTCACATCAATTGCTTTTTATTAGGCATGGGAAGTTCAAAGGTCTCAAGGTAGGTAGTTAGTAATGCCATCATGTGGCAAAAAGAGCACTAGAAGGGGAGTCTGGAACCCTGAGATCTACTCCTGGTTTTCATTATATAACATAATGATATGTCACAGTCTTCAGTTTCTTCATTTGGAAACTGGGCTTAACACATCTAAGAACCCTTCCAATTTCTAAATTCTGATTCTTATAAAAATTATATAAATCATATATTAAATATTTTTTTAAAATCTAGATATTTTAACCCATGACAAAGATAGAGCTGCTAAAATGTTTTAAGATAAAACACAAAATGAAAGCAGCCTGCATTTTTTAATCAAATGTTTCTAAGGATAAGAACACAAAAATAACTACGAAACCTCCTCATTTTCTTAAACTAATTATTTCAAGAGCAGCACTGCAGTATTACTGAAAGATTTTTAAAGGACATTGTCAAGGTATTTTTCATATATTATCTAGAAATATAATTTCCTCCCTTCCCTCTCCTTTACTGTGAAAAAGCCTTGCACAAGTATAAAAGTGAAGCCTGAATCTCATCTAATAAATGTCTATCTTCACTTTATGATGCTGCTTTCTGAAGATGGGATGACTGAATGGATTTTGGTGCAGGAAGAAAGCATATGCAAACTGTTTTTAACCTTGTAAATCCTCATGGTGTCTATTTTAGTACAGACTTTAGAGAAAAATTTAAATGGAAAGCAGAAATGATATGCAAGATTCCCAAACTAGAGCTGCAAAGCCTAATGTCCTCAAGAATATTAAGCCCCTGTTGGAATATTAGGCTAAAAGGGACAACAGGATAAATCAGAATCCCTAAGGAGACAATTACAGTTCATTTGAACCTTCTTTTTTTACATCCACTTTAATTTAAAAAATACAGAAAACAAAAATGTAAGTTATTTCTAATTAAATATTGAGGTGAGTGTAATCCATATTTGCTGCCAGTCAAGATATTTTGAAAGAATTTACCATTTGTGATTTGCTCCTTATTTCAATGAATCCTTTACCCACCACTGAAATAAAAAACTTATATAGTTATTGATATCAATATTTATGTAGCTCCTTTTTTCTTTAAAAAATTTTATTGAATGTGCTTTAAAACCTACTTATTTGGTAAGAAAAACCTATCAGCTGTAAGGTACAAATGTGCCTTATAGGTCACCATAATCACACGTGGCAAAATAGATGATACATATATTAGTGCTACAAACTGAATGGTTACATTGAAATGGGGAGTTACAATTCAGGGTGAAATAGCTGTATCATGCTAAAATCTTGCCAGTTGAAAATACAGATTCGTTGGACATGTTAATAGCTTTTTAAGTTGACGGATTTATGAAGTGCTTAAGTTTTTAAGTAACAGTATCCCTCACTTTTCGAAAGTTCCAGTTAAACAGCCACTTGGCTTTTACGAAAGACCTACTGTAGTGCCTATTTCCACTAACCGAAAGAAAGCCGATGAAGACTTTTGCTTTTAAATTAATGGTAATTACTTCTTCGCTTTAAATAATTTCAGTCTACAAAAGGTTTCATTGGAACATTCTACTTTCAGATGGTGGAAGAAACCTGTATTTTCCTAACTTTCTTCAAATGAAACTTGTAAAGGATAAATGGTGTTTTTTTCTGAAAACTCTGTTGAGTAACAAAGTTTATTACCAACCAAAACAAATGTTTAAAAATGGGTTACTTGTAGGTTTCTAGGGTCAATAATGCATAATGGTACTAAAGAACAGTATTAAGACAAGTATACTTAAACGATTCTTTTAACTTCACTTTTTTTATATCCCATCATACTTACTGGATTTATATAGCACCTATCTTCCGAGGAACTCAGAATGCCTTATAAGCGTATAGACTTATAGTATTATGACTGCACAATAGCAATTGTTTTCAAACAGTAATATTTTTTACCTTAAGAACGTTCTATTGCCACATGCTGGAGAATGGCAAGGAGCGATGTAATAAGAGAGCAGTGGAAAATTGGGAAGTTCATACAAAGAAAGAAACAAAGGAATAAAAAAGAAGCAAGAAACCATAACTTCAAAAAACCCATCCACCTAACAGGTGAAAACTCAGCTTTACTTTATCACAGATAACTGCTTCAATGAGTTGATGATGAGAAAAGCTAGACTAATAATCTACTTACTCTCCTGGATCTAAGATAACGCTCAGTTTTTAAGTGTTAGATTATCACCTGATGAAGAAGAAATAATTCTTCTGAATACTCTATACATATTACCATTTGTTGTTTTCTACAAGATCAGAATTTACTAATGAAAGTCCATCAGCAGTTTATTTCTAAGATGTATATGCTCTTATTACATGTTTTCACGATTTTTGGCAGGCTAATATCTTCATCATCCTTTGGAAATAATGGCAGGGAGTCAGTTTAAGAATTCCTGATGAACACTTAGAATGTTTAATGGAATAGTAAGTACCATGTATTTAAGCTTTTCATAGTTAATTACAGAATCTGATATAACCATAAATAATGAATACTATAATTGTTCATAAAATGAACCTTATGAAAGTTAATATGTTTAAAACTTCATATTCTGACTATATAGTCTAATCTACACAAGGAATAGATGCATACATTTTTAGCCCTATTTTGAAAACTTCTGAATTTAACTCAAAGAACAAATAGGAAACATTTCTAGAAACTAAAATACTATCTAATCCTATTTCGTTTATAAAAATATGGAAATGTAAATTTTATTTCAAATATACACTGCAGAACATAATTTGAAAAGAAGGCCCTAAGACTTACTGATGCAAGTTTATCTACACTGTAAATTAAGCAATAATGGCTAAATTAAATTTAAGTCACCTTATAGAATAGCTTGGAGATGAATGGACTTTACTTTTAAGATTAGTTAGCAAATAAACTCTGAAAAAAGAAAATCTCATCTATGATTGAGAATATCAATTCATTAACCAATTGCTTTTATTTAGACCTCAGTGTGATTTATTCTTCACAAAGGTGTATACACCAACATAAAACTTAGCTAAAATCAAAATATCCCCAAATTTTTAAATACTGAACTAAACATAAGAACCCATGATTAGTTAAGACATTTCTTTATGGACATAGACATTTATCTCTGGCTACTTCCTTAAATTCGTATCCTATCATAACAATTTTTTAAACATATTATTAGCAGGTTCTCTAAAAAACTATCCACAGTGTATGTTCCATGTTAAATGTTTTTTGTGTTTTGGGTTCTTCTTTTTTTTTTTTTTTTTACACTTATTCTCAAGAAAATCTAAGTTTCAACTTACATTACGATCTTAGGAAAATTTTTTAAACTTATATTTTAAAGTGTTTTATTTTAATATATTCTGTCTTTAAGACACTTCATTTTTATACATTTATTTGCATTCTATTTGTTTTATACTCTATACACTCCTAGAACAATTTCATATGGAGAGTTTTAAGTAAATAATTTTGTTCTAGTCTAAAAACTTAATCAGTCTTGAAAAAGCCTCAAACTGTTAACTGTTTTTCTTACAGAGCTCTTCCTTATTACCAACTTTATAATGCTCTCACAAAATTGTTTTTTGAATAGCATTAACTTTGGGACCATGAGAAGTCTACTCATATGAATATTCAAATTCTTTATTTAAATCCTGAAAGGACCACCATCTCAAAATTATTTATATAAGATACTGCTTCAGTTCCATTCTCAGCTATGATAACTAATACCTTGAATAGCATTGGATCCAGGACCATTCAGTACCACTGTCCCTCATCCTTTTTTTCAAATAGCAAACTTGAACACAACTGTAATTCTTTTAAGAATCTTTATTGATTTTTTTTTAACAATTTAGCCTGTTGGATCTCGATGCAGTTTATTAAAAACTTCGTATAGTTTCATATAAACTGCAATCAAAAACGTAATTTACTTTGTCAAAGAAGTTATCTGAAGTTGCAAGTTATTTTTTGTAATATGCAGAACAGTAAAATGTAAGCATGCTCTCGGATGCAGGTGCTCCTGTGTACTATGGAGTTACTTTTTGAAGAGCTTGCTAAGGTCTGCAGGCAGTTCATGGAATGCAATCATTTTCTCCACAATTTAGGTACATGAGAACAAAACTGATACTTATGAATAAAGTATTTTTTCTCAAAAAAGTTGAGGCAGTTTTTGTTGAATGCTGTCTGTGTGGGTACACTTGCTATACCTTGAACTGTATGTACTAAGAGAAACACACAGCCAGGAGTCCATGTTCATGCTGAAACCTGCAAAATCCCTCCACGTGTGTTGAGGAGTTCGAGGAAGAGGGTAAAAGACGATGCAGTTGTTCATCATCTTACATTAACAGAACACACCAAGAAACTTTACAGGACAAGGAAGCAAATTCCTTTCACTGCTTCTAGTCAAGGTCAGTGGTGTCTGTAGTGGAGAGTGGAGGTGGAGCAAGCCTAGGATGGGATAAAGCTTAAGTCTACATCTCATGCATATCTGTCCTTGTTCTGTCCTCGGATTTTTCTCAGACATCCGAATTAGAACTGAGGTTTGTTAACCTGGGGTCTGCATTGATTTCATATCTGTAATGATACCCTTCCATGTGATCCCTGCAGGCATCTCTGATGTTATGCATCCACTTTTTTATCCCCTTGCGGTTCAAATACAAAACCAGTAGGAAAATGGCGCCTATCAGGGCTAAAACAATACCTAGGAAGACATAAGAAGTCTGCAGGGATGGAGGGAGGATAGGATCACAGTCCAGGTCAGAGCTGTTGAGTTCCAAGAGGACCCGATTCCTCATTTCTTCCGGGAATGCACAGGTGAGCCTGGCTTTGCCCTGCACTACCTCTGTCTCCTTGAGCCAGGCCACCATGTCCACCATGTGGCAGTCACAGACCCAGGGATTGTTGTCCAGGAAGACCCTGACTTGGGGCAGGCCTTGCAACTCTGCCAGGGTGCCATTGTGAAGGACCTTGAGGGCGTTGTCCTCCAGGTGGAGGCTTTCTAGGTGTGTCAGGTTGCGGAAGGACACATAAGTCAGGCTCACCAGCGAGTTGTTGCGCAGGTCCAGGTGCCTGAGGTTGGGCAGTTGGGCCAGTACGTCGCGGGGTAGGTAGAGGAAGTTGTTGCTGGCCAGCTCCAGGCGGCGGAGCCCGCGCAGCGCCTGACCAGCTCGTAGGGCCGCAGCCACCATACCCTCCAAGCTCCGGTTCTGCCATTCGACTGGAAGGGGCACGATGTGGTTCAGGATCAGTTCCACCAGGGGGCTAGGGGTCGAGACGCTGGCGTTGCTGCCCCAGAAAGCGAAGGGGCTGAGGTCCCACAGCGGGTTGTGGCTGAGGTCGAGCTGGCGCAGGCTGGGCAGATGTTCGAAGGCGCCAGCGTGCACCACCTTCAGTTGGCTGCTGCTAAGGTTGAGCGCCGCCAGCTCCGCCAGCGGTGGTCTGCGGGCGAAGGCGCCTGCCGGGAGCTCGGCCAGCTGATTGCCGGTGAGGAAGAGGTTGCGCACGTAAGGGGGCAAGTCCGTTGGCACCTCCGCCAGGTTGCGATTAACGCACTTGACCGTGCGCGCCGCCTCTGAACACTCACACGGCGGAGGGCATTGGCCCGACAGCGGGGGCTGGGCGGACACCGCGGAGGCCAGGAACGGCGCGGAGGAGGTGGAGGGGGTCGCCGATGAGGTGAGTGAGGACGATGAGATCCAGCCCAGTAGGACCAGCGCCAGCCGCAGCCGCGCGTCCCCGGCGGCGGGGCCCCGGGTGCACCCCCCAGGCATCACGGCACGGGTCTCCCCGGAGCTGGGCTGGGACGGCGCCCGCTCCGAAGGCTCGGGAGCTGGGCCCGGAGGACGCAGGTCGGCCGAAAGCGTCTGAAGAAAACTTTCCTCTTCTGGGAGCCGCGGAGGAACGCCACAGCCAGAACTTGGCTAACCCCCCTCACCGCCGGGCGTCCCCCTACCGGGGCCGTTTCCCCCGCCCCTTCCCTCCAGAAAGTACGCACAGCGCGTCAGGACGCTCAGCTCCTCTTCCAGCTGCCGCCCCGGGGTGGCACCTCCTCGCCTCTTTTGTCGGCGCCTCGCACAGGATCCGCTGCAGGACCTGGGATGAGCGGGAAAGAAGCATGAGGAGCGGCGGCGGCTGCATCTCCAGGAGTGCAGGAGCCGGCCGATCCAAGCCGAGTTGTCCCCACTCTGTCCCCAAGTGCTCCCTCCGAAAGCCCGCCCGGGCCTCGCCTCCCCCAGTCCCACGCACATACTTACTTACCCAGAAGAGGGGCGCGCGTCCCCAGACAGGAGCGCAGAGTCTTTCTTCTGCCCTGGCCCACACTCTATGGACCCATTCAGCCTCCCGCCCTCCTCCTTTCGCGATCAGACTCGTCCCCCGCGTGTCCCCGAAGTCTAACTTCTCAGTGACTCAATCCCCAGTGCCTTCCTGACCAAACTTCTCCCTCGTCAGCGCCTTCCCCCACCGACTCTGCAGACAACCTGCCTTCCGGGTCTCTTCCCCCAGCCCGGACCACTCCTCCAGGTCCAGGTTTTGAGGCGAGGGAAGTTTCAGGTTACAAGAGTCTTTTGATCTCTTTTAGTACCTTCTTGGATGAGCAGGAAGTAGAGGCCTGTACAGCTGTTGACCCCCCCAGCCGCGCCCTCGCCAGTCCCTCGGATCCCAGAAGGGGGTTCAAGTCATCTCCAAAGGGGCAGGGAGAGGCCGCGAACAAAGCGGCGGTGAAACCCGGGACCGACGCTCCTCTCCCGCCTGGGGATGGGAGGGGCCCCCGCGCAGCTTCCGGGTTCTCGCCCGTGCTACTGGCTCCCAACCGCTCACCTCTGTGTCCACCACCTCCAGACACAAGTCGGAGTCCCACCAGAGTCCCAGCGACTTCCCGGCTCCGCGATGCGATGCGGGGCGCCGACTGTCCTCGCACCCCAGCCACAGGCCCAACCTCCGCGGCTGGGAAAAACCAATCCGGGGGTCGGGGGAGGGCCAGGCTGGCCAGAGGGACTTCTCCGATTGCGCGGCCAACCTTGGCAGCCCTCAGCTGAGCGATTTGAGATACTAGACTGCAGGGGATCTGGGCTGCGCGCCTCCTCCTGGTAGAAATTAAAGAGGATTGAGCCGGAAAAGGTGAGGGAATCCCTCTCTTCCCCCCTCCCCGGCATCCTTTGGTGGTTCCTCATTTTGCATACTGTATTTACCTTGGATGCGAACAAAACCGCTAGTGAATCTCGTGGAATTCACCCTGATTCGTGCACCTAGAGGAGTAACAAGATAGATTTAAGCGTGACAGCAGCGCGAAGCAGCAGCAGCACCAAGAAATGAGCTCAAAATGTACAGGCAGCAACAAAGCGACCAGCCAAATTTCGAGGGAGCTTCAGAAAGTCTTCCCATCAAAGTGATCTTAGGCGCAAACTTTAGATTTAGGTGTAATGAATGTGTCCCCACCTGTCCAGCCCCCGCACGTCTTGGACAGTTACAGAACTTGTGAAGAACGGGAACTAACTTTAAGAAAGAAAAAAATAGAAAAGGTTAGTGGAGAGGAGATTCATTCTTGACTTCGTTAGCTTTTTCTCCTCCCAAAATTAAAAGCAGAGGGAAGAAAACGGCAGCCAAAGCATCCTAGAAACAAAAGACAAATAGTAACGAAGTGAGTCACCCGGAAAGCGGCCCCGCCCCCCCTCACCAGATGTGGCTGCGGTGTGTCTGTGCAAGTCCCTTAAACTGGGAGAGTTTACGGGGTGGGGGGGTGGAAGGGAGGCCGCCCAGCGAGATCAGAAGCTTGGCCCAAAAGTCTATCGCCCTAGGGGGTGCCGGGCAGGCGGGGGAGGTGGAGCGGATAGAGTTGCGGAAAGGGACAGATTGAACGACTGTTTTCGGGGATGATCTGTTACATTGGAGACGTTTGTGTTCCTGAAAGCTCTACCCTTGCTCTCTCAATAACTCTGTATCCCCTTTGTCCTAATCAAATAATTTCCCTGAAAGGGTGAGAAGATGCTAATTATTCCAGGCTTCTTCGTTTTGGAGAGAAATGGCAACTAGAGAAAACAGTTGGAGAAATTAAGATCTGGTAATAAAAGGATCAAATAAGGAATGCTGAAGTTTGTGCCTGTGACTCTTGGGTTTAGTGTGAGGAAAGGCCCAGCTCTCAGGTCCGTTTCTGATTACTTTTGTGGCGAGAGTCTGCAGAACCAACAGCAAAAATGGCTCAGACAAGACCTGGAGGGGTTGGAGACTGCAGAGCCTTGAGCAAAAAGCCAGTTTTGTTCATTTGCATCTTCGGCACATTTATCTAAATTCCTTTTTCTTATTTTTAAAAGTGTTTTGCAACATGACTGTGAAACATTTTGGAAAAAAAATCTAAAAAGCTGTAGTCATGTTCTGACTGTAGTGATGGTTACATAAATCTATACTCATACATGGGTTAAAATTTGTAGATCTGTGTACACCAAAAAAGAGTCAATTTTACTCTATGATAATTTTTAAGTCAAAATTAATTACTCGTGGGAAAAAACTGTAGTAATGCTCTGGCATGATATTAACGGCGTTCTGATGCGAAGAGCAACTGCTCTATTAAGAATGAAAGGCACTTTAGGATTTAGAAAGATTATGTATATTCTAATATGATTCTCAAATCAACTCTGCAATATAGTTACCATTAGTATTATTGTCTTGTTGTTACTGGTGTTGTTAATCTATTTTAAAGATGAAGAAACTGGGGCTCTGAGCTAATAACTAGCATTAATTGTGTCTTTTACTTGCCAACCCCTGTGCTGATCGCTTTACAGAAATTTCATTTACTCTGCACGTCAATATTCAGGTAGGTCTTCTCACTCCAGTTTTACAGATGAGAAAATTGAGGCAAATATAAATTATATACTGTAGCTCCCCCTTATCTGTGGGGGATACATTCTAAGACCCCAGTAAATGCCAGAAACCATTGATGGTACTAAACCCTATATATACTGTGTTTTTTTTTCCTATACATACATACCTATGATAAAGTTTAATTTATAAATTAGACACAGTAAGAGATTAACGATAATAAAATATAACAAATATAACAATATGCTATAATAAAAGTTATGTGAATGTGGTGTCTCTCTCTCCGCCTCTCTCAAGATATCTTATTACTGTACTCACCTCTTCACTTAAAGGAAGCACTTTATGGCTTCCCTTTGGCATATTCCTACTCATGTGCTTTGGGCCATTATTAAGTAAAATAAGAGTTACTTGAACACAAGCTCTGTGATGCTGTGACAGCCAATCTGATAACCAAGATGGCTACTAAGTGATTAATGGGTGGACAGTGTATACAGCGTGGATACACTGGACAAAGGGATTGTTCTCATCTCAGGTGAGATGGCACATGACAGTTTAAGATTTTATCACACAGAATAGATGCGCAATTTACAACCTATGAATTGTTTCTGGAATTTTCTATTTAGTATTTTCCAAATGGGGTTGGCTGAAAGTAGTAACTGTAACCATGGAAAGTGAAACTGCAGATAAGGGGGGGGTGGACTATTGTAACTTGTTTGAATGAATGGTGGAGGTGAGGACCAGACCCAGATTTGTCTGCTTTTCATACATATCTTACATACCACCTTTAGGCAGGACTAAAAAGTTTGTGCAAAGTCCTACTCTGCTGCTACACCAAAGCTGCACCCCTGGTTCTTTTTCCCTTTCTTTTCTTCCTCTACTTCTCTGCAGCTGGCAGTTGGTCATGGCTGCTGATTCAGGACCCAGAAATTTGGGTCATTTCTAGCTCCACCACTACTACTAGTAGTAGTAGTAGCACACACCACTACTGTGTGTCTTCTGTATGCCTCTGTTTCTTTTTTTTTTTTTTTTTAAGATTTTTATTGGGGAATTGGGGGGATGGGAACAGTGCTGGGGAATTGGGGGAAGGGGAACAGATAAGTTGCTATCGTTTTGTTCTTCAGTCTAGTTGTGGAGGATGTTGCTTCACTGGCCCAAGTTGGCACCATCATTGCGCTCTTCCCGGGTGAGGCAGATCAGTCGCCGGCTTCTGGAGGGCCGCTCACTGCGGCTGCTGGCCACTCACGCTGGCTGCTGGCTACATACTGTAGCCCATGGCAACCCACTGCCACAGAGGTTGCAGCCTCCACCGTCGCCGGCGACTCACGGCAGCCCAGCTCCAGGTTGAGCTGTTGTTCAGCATCTTAGCTGTGGAGGGCAGTGTCACTGGCCCTCATATGTGGGATCTGAACCGGGGCCCTCTGGTGTCCCAAGCCAGTTCTTAACCATCGTGCCACTCGGCCGGCCCTGTATGCCTCTGTTTCTTAAATTGTAAAATAAGTCTAATAAAACTTTAGGGCATTTCCATGAGAATTAAGATAATGTATGTAACACACTTAGCAAAATTACCTGTTACTATTGTGGTCTCCTTAATTACTCTCCCTCTCACCATTTATTGTGCATCCATTATATCTCTGTTAACTACATTAGTGATAGGAGTGCAAGGATGAATAATTTATGGTTTCCTTAAGTAATATTGCCAGGTTTAGCAAATAAAAATTCAGGATACCCAGTTAATTTTAATTTCAGATAAACAATAAATATTTTTTTAGTATAAACATGTCCCGTGCAATATTTAGGATGTACTTATGCTAAAATAATTCATTGTTTACTTGAAATTCTAATACTGGGCATCCTTTATTTCATCTGTCAACAAAGGTGCTCATCACCTGGTAGAAGAAACAGACACAGAAACAAAAGCTTTCAATGTAGAATACTGAGTGCAGTTTGATGTGTGTGTATCTTTTCAATGTCCTCTCTCTTCCTATATATTTTACTTCTGTTTCTGCTCTTTTCGATATAAATGGGATCATAGTAGATGTATTATCCATAAGTGTTCTAATTTTAAAATAACAATGTATTGTTTGATGTCCATACATATAGGAATGCTTTCTTCTTTTTTAAATACTGCAAAATATTCCATAGGTGGATTGTTATATCACATTTTTTTAACTGCCCTACTGTCAGACATTTAGATCAGCAACTACTTTCAAACAAGTTTCCTTCAAGTGAGAAAAGCTTACTAGGATTTGTTCTATTTTGATTGTCATAAGCATTTAATTATCCTAAATTATCATACTTGCCTTACTATTGAGAGCTTGAAATTTTTTTGTGCATGATGTTATTTACATGCTCTAAAGCGGGACAGAGTATTTCAGAGCACATTTTTCCTTATTTATTCTTCCATTTCAAAATGAAGTGAAAGAAGTACCTGAATGTCCTGATGGAGAAGAACCAATTTAGTGAATTTCAATAGATCACTTTGTAGCCTCCAGGAAAATGTCTCTGCACTATCATTTACTTAGCAGATTTTTTCTACAGGAGCCATTTTTCTCCTACTGACCCAAAGGAAAGTCATTAGTAAATTATTGAAATATTACTGCTAAATCCTGGGAAGGCACGGAATAATGTAGCATATTAAAAAAAAGATGAGTGATTATGGCCACCCTCATGCTAACTAGCAGAGGGAGCCACGTGGTCCAGCATGGACAAGCATCAACATTGTTTAAGACTCTTTAATTTTGATCTCTGCCTTAAATTAGCAAGGAATTGATGAAGGTGAACACTCTGAATTCTGAAAAATATCTAAAACAAAATCAAGTATTGGTAAACATCAAACATATGTTGTAAAATCATAACCAACATTTAAAACCAGAACTATCAACTTGAGGGTCGATTCAGGAAAAAAAATAAACACATATATATATATATATATATATATATATATATATATATTCATGAAAAATAATTTTTAAAAATTGTTAATGATTAAAAAGAAAACTCATGAATTACTGTATAACTACTTTAAAAGAAATGGGCTTATAGTTTGAGATATAAACTAAATTCAGTAAAATATGAACTAGGGAATGGGACAAAACAGACATTTGTTTCATGAGTCAGCACAATGGGGGTTGGAGTTAATACAAGAAAAATACAACAAAGGTGTTTCAAAATTCATTGGAGATGAAATAAATGCTAAAGGAAGAACAAAGCAAAGAGGTTGTAATAGACTGAAGAGATTAAACTGGATAAAGATATGTGATTCTTCAAGGATGAGAAAATATAAAAAGGTAAATAAAAACAATTATATGTAATCTGCAAAACTCTCCGAATAGCTAACATTACAGAGTCATTCAACTCTAGCTGTTTAACTTTTTAAGACCTGACCATTTACCATTGCCCTTTACCTATTTGATGTTCTTGGGATACAAAAGTACATAGAATAAAAATTCCTGCCTTCAGAGAATTCACAGTCTAGTGATGGAGGTAAACTACCTAACAGTTACAAACCACGTGGTAAGTGCAAGGGTCAGGGAAGGAGTGGGAAATTTTCTGGAGAAGGCTTCATTGGGGAAGTAATGATTGATTGCATTTTGAATTATTAGTAAGAACTTGCCAGACAAAAGATTGGCAAGATGATGAAAAGGCGCAGAGAACTTG